AAAAAAAAAAAAAGCTTAATGAAAGATGGCAGAGAGAGGCACATTATATCCAATTCATGAATTGTTTATATCAACAAAAAGCCCATTTTATTCACTTAACATTGTTGATTTGTTTCATCACTGACATTAGAGCTATTGATTAGGAGCCTGACCTTTAGATGGCTGATTTGTGAGTGTATTCAGTATGGTAAAATATGGTGTTGATATGGCCGCAGAATTTAGAGGTGTCATTAACAAGGTACAGGAGTAAAATAGGGGTTATAGTATTCCTTACTCAAATTCTGTATGTGCTAGAGCTGGCTGGAGTCTGTGGCATGCTCATTGGTGCAAGTCGGTAAGGACTATGCTTTTTGCTCCACAGCTCAGTTGTGGGAAAGCTAGTCTCTTGAGCATTCTTGATCAGAATGGACTGGAATAATTTAACTTTGGTACTTTCTCAGGCTGTTAGTATTATCTAATGAAGACACCAGAATCACTGACTAAAGTCTCCACTTGCTTCTGGCTGAAAGGATGGGAGCTTCTAGCCAGTGAAGAAGAGGCAGTAGCCAATGTGTCTTATTCTGAATGGTCCAGGTTGACTTTTATAAGAGAAACACTCAGCCTTCTAATTGCTGAAGGTCTGACCCATACACTATAAGATACACATTCCTAGTCTAAGTTACATTTTAATTAGACTGCACCTACTGACAATATATTCACTTCAGTTGTTAACTCACTTGGATTAGCATCTGGCCTATCCTATCTCTGAATATAGGTTGACACGTGTATTGGAATGTCTGAGTAGTCAGAAGATATTCTTAGTTATATTCTCAATACTGAGGAATTTTTACTTCTAGAAACTGAAGGCTCAGAAGAGGATGATAAAGAAAATGATAAGGCTGAAGAAATGCCAAACGATTCAGTCCTTGAAAACAAGGTACATTGTTAGCCACTCAGTATTGTTGTCAGCTTTTTTCCTTTTTTGGGAGACAGGAGCTCACTTTGTTGCCTAGGCTGGATTGCAGTGGGGTGATCGTGATCATGGCTCACTGCAGCCTAGACCCTCAGGGCTTCAGTAATCCCTTCACGTCAGCCTCTCAAGTAGCTGGGACTACAGGCTTATGCCAACATGGCCAGCTATAATTTGCAGGACTGTAGCTTACTAGTTTAGGCACAATGATTATTTTTTTAAGAGATAGAATCCCTGTTTCTGTTGCCCAGGCTGGCATGAACATGGCTCATTGTATCTTCAGCCTCCTGAGCTCAAGGAATCCTCCCACCTCAGCCTCTCAGATAGCTGGGTCTCCAGATGTCTGCCACAATGCCTGGTTAATTTGCTCTCTAATTTTATTTTGTTTAGATGTTATGCTGCCCAGGCTGGTCTCAAACCTGGTCTCAAGTAATCCTCCTCCCTCAGCCTCCCCAAGTGTTTGGATTATAGGCATGAGCCACCATGCCCAGCTCTAGGAATGATTATTATAATTATCTCTTGGTTATGAATTAGGGACCCTTTATTCATGCCTAGGATGTAAGGATATATTGATTAGGGGTCATGTGTGTTAATATGTGACCCAGCATTTCACTGTTAAATACCGCTGACATGGTCATGACTTAGGATAGTATGTGGACCCATTCTCTAGATTATAGGGAGAAAGTTCAAATTTTGAATCGTATGTCAACTATTTTGTTTTTAGCTATGCTAAACTATACATTTAGATTTGTACTGTAAAAAGATGCCTATCTTTTTGATTTGGATATACTTTAGTCTCTTCAGGAAAATGAAGAGGAGGAGATTGGGAACCTAGAACTTGCCTGGGATATGCTGGATTTAGCAAAGATCATTTTTAAAAGGTAAAACTCTTAGTGCTTCTAGGCTCAGGCTGGGAGCTTGGTGATTAAATAGAAGTCAGTGTTAGACAAGTACCGTTAAGGTTTTTCATCAGCTTTCCTTCTTTTAGGCAAGAAACAAAAGAAGCCCAACTTTATGCTGCCCAGGCGCATCTTAAACTTGGAGAAGTCAGTGTTGAATCTGGTAATGCATTTTCCATTTTACACTCTCTTACTCTGTTCATCTCTTCTGTTCTTCCCATTACAAATTCTCTAGAACCCAACTTGATTGATCATTAGAAAGACAGGTTTAGATTCCCTGTAGAACATGGAACAATGAACAGTCTCTTCCAAGTGGTACTCTGATAGAAAGTCTTTGAGTAGATTTTTAAAAGTCATTTTGACATTCTTTATAGTCAACGGGACTGGAAACATACTACATACAAAAATGAAATGCTAAATAGGGGCATATTCCCGTAGGATGGGTTTGAATTCTGGAAGTATTTTACATTAAATGCTGTCCATTTACTTGCCCTTCTTTTTCTCTTCATTAGAGAACTATGTACAAGCCGTGGAGGAATTCCAGTCCTGCCTAATCCTGCAGGAACAGTACTTGGAAGCCCATGACCGTCTCCTTGCAGAGACTCACTACCAGCTGGGCTTGGCGTATGGGTACAACTCTCAGTATGATGAGGCAGTGGTACAGTTCAGCAAATCTATTGAAGTTATTGAGAAGAGAATGGGTGAGTGAAGACGAGCTGCTTCATGGTGATGCTGGATCCAGCAATTAACAAGGAAAAATGTGGTTATTTTTTGTGCCGTTACTTATCACTTATTCTTTTTACAGCTGTACTAAATGAGCAGGTGAAGGAGGCAGAACGATCATCTGCTGAATGTAAGAAAGAAATTGAGGAGCTGAAGGAACTGCTACCTGAAATTAGAGAGAAGATAGAAGATGCAAAGGAGTCTCAGCGTAGTGGGAATGTAGCTGAACTGGCTCTGAAAGCTACTCTGGTTGGTTCCGTTTCCTTTTAAGATTTTGATAATAGTGTGTTTGTACCATTTATGTTAGTACTCCATTTGCCAGGAACTTTTCATCATGACTTGGTTTCCCAGGCAGTTGGTGGGCTCATCTCATTATTCCTATCAAATAATATAATGGTTAAGAGGAAATACTCTGGAGCCCCAGACTGTCTCGGTTTTAATTCCATACTTAATGTGTGTGGCCATGGGCATTTCTCTCCCTCAGTTGACCCATTTGTAAAATGGATAATAGAGCTTGAGTATCCTTATCTGAATGCTTGAGACCAGAAGTGTTTTTGCATTTCAGATGCTTTTGCATTTTCAAATACTTGGATCATATTCAACAGTTGGATGTCCTTAACCCAAAATATGAAATGTTCCAGAGCATTTCCTTTGAGTGTCATGTCAGTCCTCAAAAGTTTCAGGTTGGATTAAGAGATGGGATGCCCAACCTGTAGTACATATGTATAAAATACAATACTTCTGATAGTACTGGACAAATAGACATTTCTTAACAAATGTGAGTTGCTGTTTCCATCTGAGAACTCATTTGCATAAATTGGTGACTTATTGAGAGGCATTCACCACAAATTGCCTGGTACTGTTTTTGGCTGTCAGGATGTCACAGAGCTTTTTACCCTGCAGGTAGGATATGGAAGATTTAGTTAATTATGTGCACTTTTACTGTGCTTTGGGTGGCTGCTAGACAGGCATAGATTGGCCAGGGTTAGGTGATCTTGACACTACATGGTGGCCACTAGCATTTGAGGTCAGTTCTTTGGTTGGTGATTGGTACCTGTGAGTGGCCGGGTTCTATCCTGAAACCAATTTGGGTTTGTCATTTCACATACAGGTGGAGAGCTCTACTTCAGGTTTTACTCCTAGTGGAGGAGTCTCTTCAGTCTCTATGGTGGGTATTCAGGTGGTTTTTGGTCACTTATTAAGTCTCAGTGTTGGCACAGTGTGGTGGCGTTTGCCTGTAATCCCAGCACTTTGGGAGGCCAAAGCAGGATTGCTTGAGGCTTGGAATACTTGCCTTAGAAACATAGTGAGACTGTCTACAAAAGGAAACATAAAAGTAAATCATATAAGCCTTAGCACTGATCTTGTATAGCTTGAACAATTACTAATAAAGGCTTATTTTGTCAGATTGCCAGTAGAAAGCCAACAGATGGTGCTTCCTCATCAAATTGTGTAACTGATATTTCCCACCTTGTTAGAAAGAAGGTAAGTCTGCATGCAGTGTTTTCTACCTTTTCCTCAGACTCCATTTTAAATACCTTTCCTATAACCCCTCTTTATATAGTTGGTGCATGTAAGACACTTTTTCCAAAGATGGTAAGGATTTGTAAGTGAAGACAGGTGTGTGTGTGGGTGTGTTTTGAGACGGAGTGTTGCCCTGTTGCCCAGGCTGGAGTGCAGTGGTGCGATCTCAGGTCACTGCAACCTCCGCCTCCCTGGTCAAGCGATTCTTCTGCCTCAGGCTCCTGAGTAGCTGGGACTACAAGTGCCACCATGCATGGCTAATTTTTATACTTTCAGTAGAGATGAGGTTTCACCATGTTGATCAGACTGGTCTTAAACTCCTGACCTCGTGATCCGTCTGCCTTGACCTCCCAAAGTGCTGGGATTATAGGCATGAGCCACCGTTCCCGACTGTGAAGACAGTTTTTATTTGCACATCTCTTCTAGGAAAGAGTCCTGGCCTTTTAAAGCCCAAAGACTATCATGAAAGCTGCAGATTGGATTAGCAGCTGGCAGGTTTTCTTTGACAGTAGTCATTCAGCAGCAGGCCTATTGGTACTTAGTGTGCCTTTTGCCTACTTTGCCTACAGTGTCGGTGGCTCTTTTCTTTTGGTGGATAGGGGAAGTCAAACTTTCCTGACTCAAACGCAGGAATTCAAACTTCTACAGTAATTTCTATTCACATCTCCTCACCCCAACCTTACCCCCACTCTGCTTTTGGTACAGAGGCCTCAAGTGTTATGATGGGACAGATTTATTCTGAGGGTACAAGTTAGCATCTGTCTGTGGCTAGAGAGAGAGACCCTTAGACCTACGAATCTTGGTGTTCAGGATCTTTGCCCCACAAGGATTGAGGAAATGTTTTTCAGTTGTCTTTTTAAAAACATTAAGCACATTTGTGAAGTCTTCATAATTATATCTTTAGAGGAAACCAGAGGAAGAGAGTCCCCGGAAAGACGATGCAAAGAAAGCCAAACAAGAGCCGGAGGTGAATGGAGGCAGTGGGGATGCTGTCTCCAGTGGAAATGAAGTTTTGGAAAACACGGAGGAGGTGGGCAGTTAAGCAGGGCTTGGCCTCTTGCCTCATTCTTTGTTCTCAGGACCTGGGGAAAAAACCATTAGGTCATTTCTCCTTTTCATGTGATAGGATTATACTGGCTCTGTCACCCCCATTATCACAGAATTCAAGAAATGTCCTTGTACATTGTGGTCACTGCCCTCTTAATATAGGGAGCAAAGCAGAGTTTGGGTGATCTGTATGTATTTCCTTTGACTGAGGCTTCAGTTATATAAGACAGAATGGCTTAAAGTAGGCTCACTCATGCCCAGGCTCCATTTATCTTCCAGGCTGAGAATCAGGCTGAAAGCCGAGTGGCAGTGGAGGCTGGCGCTACAGTTGAAAGCACTGCATGTTAAGAGGGGGCAGAGCCTTCCTCCCAAGGGAAAGTGTTTTTGTATATAATGTATTTTTTCACTTTTGGAGGATTCTTTTTGTATAACTTCAATAAAGATTGTAAGCAAAGGTTGAGGCTTTGATTTTTTTTTTTTCTTAATTGACTGAATCTGCCTTGGAGCACTCCTTGTTTTATATAGTAGCTAAAGGTTTTGTTTTGGCCTTCTGTACTGATCTGTGTTGCAAGTCCTGATCCCTAATTCCTGTCTGTCTAACGTGGAGTTAATCAAGTGTGGCTGTAGGCCTTTGTTTTCCATTGGTGCTATATTTCTTGTTTTCAAATATTTCACTGAACCCAGCTGTCTTGCAAACTTTCAGTGGTGCTGTCTCTGGATGGGGGCCACAAAAACAAGACTTGGTGAATATCTTGCTCTTCGGTGCTGAAAATGGATGATGGACTTTGGCTGTGAGCCAGGGTTAGGATGGTACTTGTTTTACATCCACCTCGTCTTCAACTGGGGCTATAATTGTGTCCTGGAAAATGAACTCTGAAGAAAACATGGGTTGGGGGAATGATCTCTAAGGAAAACAGTTTACACTTGAGCTCTGGTTTGAAAGTACAAGGGACTGATTGTGATGGACAGTTCAGATGTGGTTGGAAGAATATGTGGGGAGGCTGGCTGGTTGAGTTTGTTATTTTCTGTATATAGAGGTTGAAATATATCAACACTTGGAATTGTTACCCATCTACAGAATTGGCTTCTCAAATAAAGATGCTGAAAATCTCCTGGTCTGGAATTGTGTTTAAAGATCTTACAGTGGGATCCTAGGCTGTTTTTTCTTCAGGTGCAATCTCTGCTCACTGCAACCTCTGCCTGCCTATCCTGTGTTCAAGAGATTCTCTTGCTTCAACCTCCTGAGTAGGTACCACTACAGGCTTGTGCCACCACACCTGGCTAATTTTTGTATTTTTACTGGGGAGTAAGGATTCACCATGTTGTCCAGGCTGGTTGCAAACTCCTGACCCAAAGTGATCTGGCCACCTCACCCTCCCAAAGTGCTAGGATTACAGGTGTGAGTCACCGCACCTGACTGCCTGGAGCATTTCTGTGTGCAGTAGAGGGTTTGAAAGACAAGATACCACCACCCCAAAGATGCTGCTGGTGAAGGCACTAGTAGTAATGCCATCCGAGTTGGGCTCTCACTGGTGTCTAGCGTTCAGGGCTCACTTGAGACTGAACTGCCTCTGACCAGACTTAGTTTAAGAACATGTTAGGATCTGAATTCCAAACACTGCCTGCCCTACATCACCCAATGGGATTCAATTTAGTAGTCTTGACACCTGTAGGGCTGCTGCGCTAGGCCGACCCCTCAACTCAATCCCATTTTTCAGACTAGGAGTTTTTCTGGGCTGGTCACAGTAACTCATGGTTGCAAGATCTCTAGCTTCGGAGTTTCTTCCTGAAAACGCCCTTGCAATATATGTTCCAGGTCCTGAGGACTCCACCGCCCTTCTCCCTCCCCCCCCCGCCTTTTTTTAATAGCCTTATTTTTAATTTGTTTTTGAGACAGTTTCACTTTTGCTGCTCAGGCTGGAATAAAATGGCATGATCTCGGCTCACTGCAGTCTCTGCTTCCTGGGTTTAAGCGATACTCTTGGCCTCAGCTTCCCAAGTAGCTGGGATTGCAGGCATGTCTCTACAATCACCGTTTTCCCCCTTTATTTATTGGTCAGGACAGTCATGATGTAGTTTACTCCCAGGTGCTTGACCTCCTCTGGTTGTCACTGGGATATAGGGCTAGGCACAGTATCTCATTTTATCTAGATCTCACATGTGACCCCTGTGGGGGAACAACCTTAGGCTGGGGCCCTAGCCCAGAATCTAAGTACATAAGGCCTCAGGGGTTTCCTGGCAGAAGTACTGAGGAAACAGATTTGAGTAAGTTTATCACAGTAAGTGATAAAACTGGCTTTACCAAAAAACCAGTGGGAATTTATAACGTTACTTTCTTTAGAATTAATGCCCCCTAGTCACCTTTTTATGTGCCAGACAATATCATAAATACCTGACAAACTCATTTAATCCTTAGTCTGCTTTAAAAAAAAAACAGAAGAGGTACAGAAAAATTAAGGACTTGTGGGAGATGATGGTAAAGCTATGGTTGGAGCTCGTATTCTCAACTGCAAGTTGCTTCTAGACCCAATGTCAGAACATGGAGCAGTAAAGCTGTAGGTCTGCAAATAGGCCCCCATCTAGGCCCCAGTCATGTATATGTTCAGATGCTCATCCCCACATTCACGGGTTCAGAAACTCACTGGGGCAAGTCAGAACTGTTGAGGGCCCAAACCCTCATCTCTCCTTGATGCCACTGAGGGGCTCTTCTGTAGGAGGTGGGGGATCAGCAAATCCAACTGTGGGAGTAAAGAAGTTGGCTTCCAGTGAAGATGTGCTGGACGCCTGTGGAACAGGGAGAAAGCAGGTTTGGAGCAAAAATGTGAAAGTTAAGCACAGGTTTTGGAGTTAGGTCTCCTTAGAGTCTCTCACTATGAACTAAGTTAACCTGATCCTGCTTTGATTCTCTTATCTGTTATATAGGACTTCATATAGATGTGAGGATCAAACAAGGAAGCATTGCTAATGACTGACCACTCATGAGTGGTCAATAAAGGCTGGCTATTAGCTCCACCAGCCACACTGGTATGGGTAGCTGTGGTATCCTCACCGGAGGTGGGTACTGGTACTCATAGACACTTGCTGGATTGATCTCTGCCAGTTCCTGGACAGCTGCATCTCTTGCATTTACCAGCCGCAGAAAGAGCTCAGCCTGACCTGCCTGGGGAAAGATGGAATAGTATTACATTTGTACCTTGGTGTATGCCCAATGCCTGCCCTCCACACTCACCTGAGGAATCCCATTCAGCTGCCCAAGGCTAAGGCTAGGGTCTAGAGGAAGGGCCCGAAGTGGGAGGCGCCACCGGCCACTTAGCACCCGCTGATCTTGGTCAAATAGCCCAAGTGAGACCCAAGCCTTTGGCCGTGGTGCCCTAGTCCATGCCAGCCCCTGCCAGACCTGCAGCTCACAGACCAATGATACTGATGGTGAGGGTGGCAGTCTGTAGAATAATCAAAAAGCAGTGTTGGAAACCAGAGCTGCAGTCCCTTCCTAGGACTTAGCCCTTCAGAGCCAGTGGACTTTCTATACAGATAAGAAAACTTTTAGCAGAATGATGAATAAGCCTCAATTGTGGCAGAGTACCAGAGTCATGATCCCCACCTACTGACCTGGGCACAGGTTGCCTGCTAGCAAGGATGGCACAGTTGCCCGTGGGCCCGGGAGTGGGAGGTGGGGGCAGGCAAAGGGCTGGGGGCAATGCTGTGGTCCCTTCTGTATCCTTTCCATCGCGTGCCAAGCCAGTCCTTAGCTGCACCCAAATCCAGGAAGCTTCAAGGCCCCGCAGAAAATCATAGAAAATGACCAACCCAGCCCTGGGGAACATAAAAGTCTTAGCACAGACACACCCAACTCCTGTCAACCTCCCTCCTCTCAGGCAGCTCCCCAATCCTATATGACCCTAGTGGGCTCCCTTAACCAGCAATGCTGGCCAAGTCACAGAGGATGTTGAAGATGGCACAGGCCTCACCCAGGATCGTAGGGTGTAGGGCCCAGGACGTCCGATGTGGGCAGGAGAAAGCATGGGTCCAGGCCCAAGTTTCTGGTCATTGTTCCAGGAAGCTGTGGCTGTGGGGAAGAGAGTTGACTCCTCCAGAAAGCCTTGTAACTGCCCATGTTCCCCCAACTGCTCAGAGCAGAGCTGCCCCCAACCTGTTCCCCGACTCCACCCTGTGTTCTCACAGCCTTTCCCAAGCCACTCAAGAACCAGACCTCCCTGAAGCCTGGAAGTGGTGGCAGCAGAGGTGCCACCGGCGGTGGTGGGAGGAGTGGGGGATTTCTCCTGCCCTTCAGTCGATGGCTGGGACCTCCCAAGAGTCGCAGATCCTGGGGCCCTGGGAGCAGAAGAGTTTTAGGGTGCCCCTAAGTTGGACAAAGCAGGTAAGTAGCTGAGACACCCCTCCCCCAAGAGCTGGGCCCATAAATGGGTGGCAGATCCCTGAGGACACAGGAACACACACTCGCAGACACGACCTAGGGGGTGACAAACACGGGTCTTGTTCCCCATATACTGCCTGGGCCAGGCCTGCTGGGGAGGGATAGGTGGGATGGGATAAGGTTGGGGTACTCACTGACCCAAGGGTGCCTGACCCCTCTGCATTTGCAAGGCCAAGATTTCTGCCTCCAGGTGCCGGTTTTCAGCCTCCACTACTGGAAGCTCCCCTGAGGAGGCGCTTGCCCTTCCTGCAATGAACAAGTGTGACCTCTGGAGACCTAAGGCTCTTTGGATAAGGCTGGAGTTGACAGCTTATATCCTATCCACAGCCACAGGCCCTCCCTCGAGTTTTTCTTCTCTTCCCAGGATTGACCACCGCTGCCGAGAGGCCCTCCTGTTCACCTCCGCAGGTCTGCGACCGCTGCAACTCCAGTGCTGATGCCTCCACCTGCAACTGCCACATCTGGCCCAGCAAGCCGGGGTCCCGGCCTCCACCTTGAATGTAGGCCTCCCGCAGGGCCCTAGTGAGTGGGGGACAGGAAGGCCGTCTTTCCTGAATTGCTCAGTGCTTCGCCTCATCCCCACCTCTGGACCCCGGCCCTCACCAGATTTCGGCAGCCAGAGTTCCCGGATTGGCCTTTAACACTGGACAATAGAGTTCTGTCTCTCGCCTCGAGTTCTGTGTGGTCCTGGGGTGGCAGGCAACACTCAGAGAGACGGTGACGCATCAGAGGCCCGAGCAACAGCTGGCCTGCCACTCCCACCCCGCAGCTGCACATTCCGGGGGTGCGCTACGTCAGGCCTTACCCTGTCTCCGTCTGCAGCTCTTGAACGCGGGCTCCCAACACCTCTAGAACTCCCTGCGTCCGCCCGGCCTCAGCTTGGAGTTCCCGAATCTCCCGCTCCAGGACAGATACGCGGGCCACACCTTGGAGGCGCTGGCTCAGTTCTGAGGGAGTGCAGGAGAGTCAGAACCAGCCCGAGCAAGCTTAAGCCAAAGGGCGAGGGCAGAGGAGGTCCTTGGTCCCCGCCATTCTTCTTCACCCTCGCCGCGTCGCTGCAGGGCCCGGCTCTGAGCTTCTGTCTCCACCACGCGCCTTGCGCGAGTTCTGAGCAGCGCCCGCAGCCGCTCGCTGGGGCTTCCCATCGCCTCCGACAAGGGGCTCTGAGGCTGCGCCTCGGAACGCGTCCAGGGCCGCGCAGACGCCCTGGGGACCTCTGTCATCCAGGGCCACATTTCCTGCACGGACAGCCGCAGCCACTGCACCTGGAAGTAAGTAATCCTTAATCTTTGTTTGGGCAGCATCTGTCCCAAGTGTGATCTACAGGTTTGGGTAAGATGCTTAACATTTTGAGCCTTGGGGAAAGGCAGGTGGCCCTACCTCCTCTGCTAAACTCTTTAGAGCAGATTTACTGGTCTGCTGGTCTGGGAGGCCCTGGAGTTCTTGTGGCACAACCTGGGGACAAGGTGTAGTAGGATGAGGAATTGTAAGGTCCTGCTCCTTTCAATCCCCACCCATGGCCACAGAGGCCCTTACCGCAGCCTGCTGGAGTTCAGTGTCAACTGAGGCCTGTGCTCCAAATGTTGTCTCTTGGGTCGGGTGGCCAATGCAGAAGCGCTGTGTGTGAGTGGCTAACAGAGCTGAGGAGTGGAAAACCATGTCACAGGTCCCACAGGGAAGGAGCTCTGGCTCCCCAGAGTGGGAGTCCATGGATGGGACCAGTTTCCTGAAATCAGCCAAGACCTGCAGAAGGGAGCAAGAGCAGGGGAAAGGCAGAAGGGGATGAAAGAGAAAGCAAGGCAGAGAAGAAAGGCCAGGGCTGTTAAATCTGTGAGATCTTCCAAGTTTATGTTTGGGGAGAGCCTTAGCTCCCTAGACAGCAACCACAGGCCTGGGCAGGTCAGGAGAACGGGTGGGGAAACCTTGGCCGTCTGGGAGGAGCCACTGGTTTGAAAAAGTAGTACGAAGTTTGAATGTGGGCAAGTCTCTAACTGTATGTTGGTTTCCCTGTGTTAATAAAGAGGAAAAACAGCTGCCTCCTAGACTAGCTGGACCCTTATCACTTACTCCATCATTGGTCATTTAATAGCCTCTAAAAGGCAAGTGTCATCTTTTTCACTGCTGTGTTAACAGTCTCTACCATTCTCCAGTCCAGTGTACTACTTGGTAAAGGGGAGGCACTCTGACCTTTCCAGCATTCTGCCTGGAAACCATGTCACACCAGGGATAGCAGTTTCTAACTCCCATTCCCTGATTCGTTTCTTAGTTGTAGATGGAGTTAATCAGCATAGCCCAAGAAATGAAAGCTGTGAGAGAACACAAGTAATCTATCAGATGAGGGAATCAAGTCCAGAAAGAAACCCTTTCTCTCCCAAGATTGGCCAGAAGCCAGAAAGGACCTTAACTGGTGGTCAAATTCTTGACTCCCCTCTCTCAAAAATATGCAGAAGCTCTGAGATGGCCACATATTTCTTAAGAAACCCCCTTTTCTAACCAAGATAGGGACTTGAGACATTTCCTTACACAGTACCTAAAGTCAAGGTATTACCGACCAGCAGCAGGTTACAAAGTGTTCAAAGTATGTCATCTCAGTTCAGCTTAATTCCAAATGACATAGAATACATTTTTAGCAATACATTGAGAGAATAATAGCAAAGCCAACTTTTCAGTAACTAAGTTTGTCCCTACTTCAATGGTTAGACATTTGACTGTTTTGACTTTACAATGGTGCAACAGTGATACGTATTCAGTAGAAAAACGACTATTTCCCGCCCCACCCCACCCCCCACCCCCCAAGAGATAGGGTCTCACTGTCATCCAGGCTGGACTGCAGTGGTGCCATCATGGCTCACTGTAGCCCTGAACTCTCCTGGAATCAAGCAGTCCTCCTCCCTTAGCCTCCTGAGAAGCTAGGACTACAACTGTCTGCCACCGTGTGGACCTGGCTATTTTGTTTTTGTTTTTGAGACAGAGTCTCTGCTCTTTTGCCCAGGTTGCAGTGCAATGCTACTATCTCAGCTCACTGCAACCTCTGCCTCTCAGGTTCAAGCAATTCTTCTGCCTCATCCTCCCAAGTGGTTGGGATTACAGGCACCTGCCACCACACCTGCTAATTTTTTTGTATTTTTAGTAGAGATGGGGTTTCGCCATGTTGGCCAGGCTGGTCTCAAACTCCTGACCTCAGATGATCCACCCACTCTGGACTCCCAAAGTGCTGGGATTACAGGCATGAACCACTGCACCTGGCCAGATCTGGCTATTTTAATAATTTTATTTTTTTGTAGAGACAGGTCGCTGTGTTCCCCAGGCTGCTCCTGAACACCTGGCCTTTTTCTTAAGTTACTGTCTGTTCTCTCCCCTGCTGGGCTGGGTACTCCACACAACCTTAGAGCCTTGCATAATGCCTGCAACATACAACAGGGGATTAGAAAATATTTGATGAATGAAAAAACCTGTTTTCTCCACTAGCCATCCAGCTAGCATTGTTCAACTCTCCCCCAGTCCCCACTCCAAGTTCTTATTTAGTAGGAAAACAAAACAGACTTCCCTTAAAATATGTACATTGGTAAATACATGGGCACTAAAAAACAGTTTGAGAAAAAAAATTTGGTTTCTGACTTTATTACTCAATTTATTGCACAGGTTTTTCTGCATCAAAAAAGTATCTGCTAAAAAGAGAAACAGTTGTGTCTGAATTCACATTCCCCTCAACTTCTAAAAATATTTCCCCTAAAAAAGAATCCACTCATCTGATTTTAACGAAAATATACTTCTTACACCAGACAATCCAAACTGATGCAAAATATTTATTCCAAGTTAGTTATTTTATGCAGTAGTTTCCCCTCAAGACTTGTGATAACCACATCTTTTAAATCTGTAAATAATGTTATCAAAATAATCTTAATCTTTGAAATCTCACAAAAATTTATATTTTACAATCCACCCTGAATATCAAGGCTGCAAGAATAACACAACATTTCCTATATCCAAATATTTTACAGCTGTACCCAAAAAGGAAAAAGAAAAAAAACAAAAAAACATAAAACCACATTTGCTTGGTTAAGGGCTAAAGTTACCCGAGCAGCCAAAAATAAAATAAAATATCCAAATTATTAGCATTAATTTAATACAATTATAACTTCAATAGTCACTTTGTCATTGACAATGATTGCTTGAGCACAGGGGTGAGTGCCCCAAGGGCTGGTAGTAGAAGCTGTTGCTGCAGACCAGTGTCTCTTCTCTCTGCATTGCCAGCTCCTACCTGTGCATCGCCCCATATATACTATGTGTGTGTGTGTGTGTGTTTAAAAAATCTGTTCCACCACACAAACTTCTCTCTATTAAGCAGATAACAGGGAAGAACAACAACAAAAGCAAAACAAGCCAATCGTTCTGTCTTTGGGATATGATTATTTCCCTTCTGAATGACGTATTCAACAACATAAGAAAAGGAAAAGAACAATTTCTTTTGTATACTCCCTAAACACACAGAGTTTACTGGGTCTGATTTAATGGTGAGCATTATATGCCTACTTCCAGGCATCGTCATCTGATGTCTCACTGCTACTGGTTTCGGTATCTGAGTCCTCAAACTCTGCTTTGCAAGTGCTTCTCCAAGGGGAGAATAGGCTGGAACTGCGGTTCTGCAAGAAGCCATTCTTTCCAAAGCCATTTCTTCTCAGCTGTGGTGAGTATGGGAGAAGAAGAAAAAGAGAAAACATCAATGTCTGTACTGACCCATGAGCCCTGAGAAAGGCCAGGCCTCAATTCAATTATGGGTAGAATGTGGAGTGGGGGTGCTTCTAAGAAACCCTCCAAGATCCCTTATAGCAGTGCTTTCCAAACTTTAATGTACAATGAGTCATCTACCCATCTTTCAAAAATGCAGATCCAGATTCAGTATGTCTGGAATGGGGCTTGAAAGTCCTTATTCCTTGCTTTGTCATCCAGGCTGGACAAAAGACAGCTTTGTTCTGTTGCCCAGGCTGGAAGTGCAGTGGTGCGATCTTGGCTCACTGTAACCTCTGTCTCCTGGGTTCGAGCGATTCTTCTTCCGCAGCCTCCCGAGTAGCTGGGACTACAGGTACACAACACCACACCTGGCTAATTTTTGTATTTTTAGTAGAGATAGGGTTTCACCACATTGGCCTTCAACTCCTGACATCGTGATCTGCCCGCCTTGGCCCCCCGCAAAGTGCTGGGATTATAGGCGTGAGCCACTGAGCCCAGCCGAAAGTCTTTATTTCTAACAGAGTTCTGAGTGTCAAGGTCTCATGTCAGCCTGTGCTGTGCCCCTTTTAAAGACATAGCCAATTGTAATTTGTGCTATAAATATATGCCACCAGAAGTTCAAGGATTTTTGTAGAAATCTCATTTGTCTTGTTCACCCTAGATGTAGCAGTGTTTTATTCAGAGAAAGAATCCAAGCAACTGTTGAATAAACTGATACAAGCTATTTAGTTTCTTAGCTCTGGCCAGAGGACCAGGAAACTATAGTGCAAAACAGGAAGCAGAGAAGGTAAACCTGCTTCCTTAAAGACCAAGAGCTCAGACCATAACTCTGGAACACAGCCTTGTGGTTCTGGTAAGGAGTTAGAGCTGAGAGGATGAAAGAACATACTATTTTCTAGAATCTGCTAATCACTGACACTTAGTTTTTGTATCCACCACTGGAGATCCTTATTTCCCAGGCAGATTTAGGAGCCCCACTACATTTCTACTAAGGTAATTTTTTTTCCCAAGGTCTTTCTCTCACATTAAACTAGGCTCCCTAATAGCAAGGATTGTCCTAACTCCTTATTCTCCAGCTTACTAACTGGTCTCCAGGAAAAAGGCTGACAACAAACCTGCTCTGTCTTCATGTGGAACTCTTTGAGCTCATCCTCTGTGAGGGGAAGGCAATTCTCATCATTTTCAGGATATTCTTGCCATCCCATTGCTTTCAATAACCTGGCGGACATAGAAGGACAGGTAAAGAAAATATGCCATCATTAAGCCTAAGTGAACAGCCCACCACTATCCACAGAAAACTTTTATGCCCAGGGGCAACTGATGTTAAAGAAGGAATTGTTTTCCTCCCTGTGGGACAAGCTCTAATTTCAGCTACTTGAGTGATTATAAATAACTGGAGGCTCTTTACTGTTGAGAGAGGAAGAGCTACAGAAGAGACAGCAGAAGCAGAAACCAAGATAGCATTAAGGAAGAAAGAGCACTTGCAGTCTGGCTTTTTTGTTGTTGTTGAGACGGCACCCCTGTCACGCAGGCTAGAGTGCAGTGGTGCAATCTCAGCTCAATGCAGCTGTCGCCTCCTGGGTTCAAGCCATTCTCCTGTCCCAGCCTCCCTAGTAGCTGGGGCTACAGGCACGTACTACCATGCCCAGCTAATTTTTGTATTTTTTGTAGAGACAAGGTTTCACCATGTTGGCCAGACTGGTCACAAACTCTTGACCTCAAGTGATTCACCCACCTGAGCCTCCCAAAGTGCTGCAATTACAGGTGTGAGCCACGACTGGCCTGAAGTTAAAATATATTAAAGTCTTGGAGAGCAGATTGTGAAAAAGATGGCTGAGTATGGGAAAGAATGCTTGATGGGCAATAGGCCAACCTGGGGCATACACAGAAAACAAGTTACAATTGGGCCACTTCTCTCTGCATGTGGGCCTCTATCTGAGATAACTTCTCCAGTATGTTCAAGGTCCTTAAGGATCATACACTGCATGCCCTGTGATGTCTTCCCTCACTTACCTGTGCTCTGCTTCCAAAGAGTGTGACAGAACCTCCCCTTCTTCCACTACAGGGAGAGCAAGACCATTCTGATGACAGCCTTCCTCCCCATTTTCCTTTGGTTCAGGTGTACTGTTGTCCTCCAACTGCAATAAGGAAAAGTAAGGACACATTGGTTTAAGGTTCCTTTGTGGTAATATAAGCAACCTACGAAATCAAGGAGTCACCACCCAGAAAGTGTTTTCCAAAAGACAGCCTCAGCCCATAGATTTTCCCCATTTACAAATGGGGACCTGCTGTATCACCAAACTGATTCTAAAGCTTTAATGAAAAGGCAAGGCCGGAGGCAGTGGCTCATGCCTGTAATCACAGTACTTTGGGAGGCTGAGGCGGGCGGGTCACTTGAGGTCAGGAGTTTGCGACCAGCCTGGCCAACATGGCAAAACCCCATCTCTACTAAAAATACAAAAATTAGCTGGGTGTGGAGGTGCATGCCTGTAATCACAGCTACTCTGGAAGCTGAGGCAGGAGAATTGCTTGAACCTGGGAGGCGGAGGTTGCAGTGAGCTGAGATCGCGCCATTACACTCC